TCTCTCTCTCTCTCTCTCTCTCTCTCTCTCTCTCTCTCTCTCTCTCTCTCTCTCTCTCTCTCTCTCTATCTATCTATCTCTCTCTCTCTCTCTCCTATGTCGATCATCTTCTACCTCCATCCCATAGGGATGGAGGTCGTGCATGAATGTTAGGTTCACGCTCTTTTCAAAATCCCTGAGCGTCGTGAGAATCATAGCCTCTGGATAGTTCCTCTGTATGAGCTCTCTGATGAGACACAGCAGTGGTAAAGAGCGAAGTGGCGTGTCTGATGAGCATCTAAAGATGCGATGTAGGTAGCTCTTGATCGTGGAGATTTTCGCCTGCTTGTCGTTGTATGAGTTGTAGTCTTGTATGCTATGGTAGATGAGTTGCTTTCCTTGGAGCAGGGCTGATTGGTTCTTCATCTCGAGTGTCGCTGTGATGTCCGGTCCCTCCTGATCGACGAAGATCTTGCACCCGAGGAATGAGAGCGTTCCATCCTCCTCATCGGTGCGTTCCAACGAGAGATCCGGTGGATAGCCTGCTTGGACTTTTTTAATTATCTCACTGGCTTCACACAGCGAGTCCGCCTTTTTCGGAGGAATGTCACAAACACCGCCACGTCATCCATAAGTCTCATGCCCAGGATCCTTTCCCGATCTGTCCCGATGTCATGGATGAACATCGCTTCGCTCCAGGTGCACAGTATACAGGCCAGGGCGGGGCTTGTGTGTCCCCCCACTGGGATTCGCCTCATCTGCTGGATCACTTCTCCTTCTGCCAGGCTGAACGAATGCCCCAGCTCGTACTCGATCCATTCCCGCACCTTCTTGAGCAGCACTGAGTAGTGTCTTTCCCTTGCTTTCCTTCCCATCGCCGGACGTTTTCCTCTGCAGTTCACGTTCACTTGATCATAGCCTTTCTCTTGGATCATTGTGATGATCCATTTCACCGACTCCCTGATCTTCTCGTGAGGGAGCTCGGCGAACATACTCTTTACGTCAAAGCTTGCAACCAGGACGCCATAGCTTTGTTTTAGGCGTCCATTCCACTCTGCTAGTCTGTTGATGGCATCTTCTGTTGATGTCACATTGAAATGCAGACTCCTCGCGAGGCATCCTAGCATGCAGTATAGCGCCTTCGCTACTTTCTTTGCTCCTTCTTTCGTAGGGGCATTCCACGCAGGGGCTATTGGTCTCCATCTCCCCGGATCTTTCTGGTTCGGGATGACGTATGCCTCTCCTTGTCGTCCCTTCTTCCTCCATGAACACAATTTTCTCAGACCCCTCTCTTCATAGCTCCTCCCGCATATCTCCAGTGCCTTCTCTTCAGTTAAATCCTTCATATTGAAACTTCCGCCATGCCAGAATGTATCTCGCAGCGCTCTCGTGTATACTACTGGCAGACAATGTACGTGGCTCCTGGATTCCGATCGAGGGGCATGCATACAAGCCCTCGTCGTTTCTAGGTCCATTCCTGTACGACCTTGTAACAGTCCTCGTTTTCCAGCTGCCGGTCGCATACGCATGCTTCTACTTCCTCCATCTTAACACCGATCGCCTTTCCCATCTTCTTGAAGATCCCCCCGAGTCCGTCAATGATTGCCGCCATAATCCCTCCCTTCACTGATCTTGTGCGTTGCACCGAGATGTTCTTCGCATTCAGTAGGAATTCTGGCGCTCCGATTTCCTTCAGAGTGCATCGTACATGTCCCTCCCGTATCGGCAGGTGGCTATCTGCACATCGACAAATGCTACCATTCGGGCGTGTGAATTCTCGATGGTTGTGAAGGATGTCCCCAACCGTCTGCTTTTTGGTCCAGACGACTCGGACATGCCTTCGTACGATGTCTAGATCTCAGTGCCCAATTCTAGTTGATCGATCTTTCCTTTTGCAACGTCTCCAATCAGCTTCTTATCCACTCTATCATCGTACGGTATCCTGATCGTCAGTCTCACTCTCACGTTAATCCCTACCTTCTCGTTCAGCACACGTGATATAATCGTGCGCAGTCGTTGCCTCGTCCTCTTCTCAAAACCTCTTGTGGCTTGGTACATAGATGTCAGTTCCCGATTCTCCTCCTTCCACAACAGTTTTCTTCGCCAGGGCTATGTGAGTAAGAGCAGCATCTTCCTTCTTGTCTTTGCCGGGTAGGTGACAGTTTTTGCTGTATCCTTGATCGTAATATAGCCTCCTCCTTTTATCTTTCCCTTTGCGTCTCTTAGCAGGCATGTCGTACTTCCTACTTCGACTAATGACATTCCGAATTTCCGCTTCACCACCTTCCAATCTTCACACCATATATTCCCCGTGGATATGATGCGTACATCCTTTCTTCCTCCTTTGATGATGGCTTCAAGGATGTCACTTAGGCTCGTAGTAGGTGATCCGGATTCCTCCACAAATTTTAGGATATTCCCCTTCTTCTCCCGTATATGTTCTCTTCCTTTTCTCTCCTGTCTCCCTTTCCTTTTCTTTGTTGTACTTGTATTCCCATATCGCTTGTTGTTGCAATTTAGAGTCGGAGACCCTCTCTTTATGAGGGATCTCTCGATTCTGTCCAGATCCTTCTCTCCTCCCTCTGTCGTGAGTGGTATAGCGATGTACTCCTCACATCCCACTTTCCTGAGCCATCTTTACAGTGATTGACACTTGTATTCCTTCCCTTTGCTACAGGATACGTGTTCTTTCCATCTAGCCGCTAGTTTTCTGCTTGTACGGCCGATGTACACTTTCCGGCATCTTACGGACACAAGTGCATAGACGCAATTAGTAGGATGAACCCAATCTATCTTATAATCCATCCAGAGATCAGAGAATTTTGACGCTTAGGGTATAGCTCCTAGCAGCGTCAGAGTGACTACAATACATCGGAGTGCCGCGTCTATAAGATCTTCGTTTTCCCGGTTCCGGGAATTCATCCTTCTATACGTTAGCATTATGTGCCATAGTGCCCAAGCCTTATCGAGGTCAATCCTTCAGTCTGATGCGGGATCCGGGGTGATGTCCTGGCTTCCCGGATCATTCTCCTCTTCCTGATCCTCGCTACTCCTCATAATAGCGTCTTGCATCCTATTCACAATCAACTCCTTGATCGCCTTCTCTCTAGTAGCATACTCTATCTTATCTTCTCCGCATAGACATTGGAGTTCAGCCATGGATCTGGTCCGTAGGAACGTTCTCATGTTCATGCAGTAATCTACGATACCAGTCTTTGAGCCTTGGAGAGTGATGTTCTTCCATCCCACTATGAGCGCTGCATTGTCTAGCGTCGAGTTTCTCTTCGCTTGTGATCTTGTCATCCTTGGAGTGTGTGGCGTTGTTGGTTCTTCAACGTGTATCCCCATACTTGGCTGTCGCATGCGCTGCCTTGGTCTGGATGGTGTTGTCAGAGGTGTCTTCTTCTGTCTTTGTGGTGGTCTCGTAGACGATGATGGTGCATACTGGTCATCTTCCATGTCCAGTTCATGTCGCGTCTGCTCCAACTCCCACTCTAGCTCCTCCGCCATGAGCTTCTTCCTGACTCTTACGAGGTCCCTCTCCTCCTTCATCTTTCTTAATTGCATGATTTTCTTCCATAGTTCCTCCTTCTCCTTCTCAGGGCTGTCATCCTTCGCCAGTTCCCTCTCTAGTTCTATCACTTCTTTCCTCAATTTTTCCACGTCCTCTTTCTCGTTCTCCCTCACTTGTGCCCTTGCCTTGATTTCCATCATTTGCCCAGAGAGTTTATCATGCAAGGTCTTGAGTTGCGTCGTCATCGACGCCATGAGTCGCGCATCTCTGATCTCAGTTTGTCGTTCTAGCTCAGCCTTCCTTTGTTGGTGCAGTTCGTCTTCCCGTCTTTGTCTCTCCGCCTCCAATCTTTGTCGTTCCTGTTCCTTCTCTCTGTCCTCCTTCTCTTTTCACTCTCTCGCCAGATCTCCGCACAACTCTCTCATCCACGCGATGTCATCAACATCCTTCTTCTGCTGCCATATCATCCCGCTGTATCTATACGGTGTGCTTTGCGATGGTATAACTGCGCCCGCCCGCTGAGGGCAGTCCCTCGCGTAGTGGTCATCCTTGCCGCACGTATAGGAGACCATATCGTCACGTATCAGATCCTGGCTAGCAGTCACGTTTGTTCCCACTAGTATGCTCTCCGTCTTCTATCGTCTTGGATCTTCTTCTAGTCTCTCCGTCTTGATTGTAGCCTGACGACCATTGTGCTAGGTATGCTTCCCGCTCGATTATCGCCTCAACCCTTTGTTTGGATAGTATCCTTCACATAAGTGGATCATCATGCACACGTAGGCTGAAAATCCTAATGACATGTGAGAAAGAGACAATTGAGATGTATGATAAACCATAGAAAGCAGACAATTGCACTCTCTCTTTCCTGCACCAAGATAGTAACCACGAGCATGACATGTCAATGCCAGCTCCCACCAGTCCGTCTTGAGGCTTCCCTGTACGCCGCGTTTCGATCGGTCGCCGACCGATCTCATCATGGGGGTTCCCGATCCTCAATCCAAAAGGCCGACAAATGTTTCAGATGTAAGTTATATACCCGCGTCTGCATGCGGCCGTTGTGTTATTACTGGCTTTTATTTTTTCTATTTTACATTTTTTTCATTTTTCCGTTCGCCAGATTCGTTTTCTGATATCTGCTTATCTGGCATCGACTCCCAGCCTGGAGTCTGAAAAAGGTCCGGTTTCCCAAACTCGAATGCCCAAATTCGAAACTCGTGTGTTTTCTTTCTGTCAGTCCGTTCTGTCCTCTACAGCTGTTCAGGTTCTGTCCCGTTTCATCAGCCCAGAGAGACCCCTTTCGCTCACCCCCTCTGTCCTCCCCCTCTCTCTCCCCCCCTCTCTCTCTTTCTCTCTCTCTCTCTCTCTCTCTCTCTCTCTCTCTCTCTCTCTCTCTCTCCTATGTCGATCATCTTCTTTGGCGAAGATTACACTTATTTTTATATTTTTAAGGAACTTTAATAAATTTAAATTAATAAAAATTACTTTCAATCTTCAGAAACCTACTGGCCCTCCACCACTGCCTAGGGGCTTACAAGGTTTCCCCTAGAGAGTAGCGCGGTAAGTTTGTTTCTCTTTCCGGCACACACTAACTATTTATTTTGAATTTATATTATATAAATACCAAATAAATAATTTCGTTTGGGAAAATCCCATCGCCGTACCCAACCCCGAAAAGGGCGTAAGGGAACAAGCTTGTAGCTTCTTCTTTCTCATTCCCTTTCCTTTTCCTATCTAGGGAATTTTTCTGTGTTTTACTCTATTTTATTTACAAAAATTGTGTTTATGCAAGGTATACCCCCTTTCTTATGTTACATATATTTATATTCCTTATATATGTTCTTATGCAAAATTGCGAGAGATGGTTAACTGCCCTCCTAATATTCACTGATTCTATACCGAACATTTCGTTGTATAGGTATAAGAAAAAACTATCCTTTCCCCTTCCCCACTGTTCGACGAAGATTACACTTATTTTTTTTCGTTTTCTTCTTTGTCTACTTGGTCTACTTTCCACCCGTTTTCTCCTTTCCTCTTCTCCTCTGTTCGGCGAAGATTACACTTATTGTTGTTCGTTTTCTTCTTTGTCTACTTGGTCTACTTTCCACCCGTTTTCTCCTTTCCCCTTCCCCACTGTTCGGCGAAGATTACAGTTATTTTTTTTCGTTTTTTTATTTGTCTACTTTTCACCCGTTTTCTCTTTTCCCCTTCTCCACTGTTCGGCGAAGATGACACTTTTTTTTTTTTCGTTTTCTTCTTTGTCTACTTGGTGTACTTTTCACCAGTTTTATTCTTTCCCCTTCTCATCTGTCCGACGAAAAGTACACGTTTTTTTTCTTCGTTTTCTTCTTTGTCTACTTGATCTACTTTCCACCCGCTTTCTACTTTCCCCTTCCCCACTTTTCGACGAAGATTACACTTATTGTTTTTTGTTTTCTTCTTTGTCTACTTTCCACCCGTTTTTTTTTTTCCTCTTCCCCAATGATCGTCGAAGATAACACTTATTTTTTTTCGTTTTCTTCTTTGTCTACTTGGTTAACTTTCCACCCGTTTTCTCCTTTCCCCTTCCCCACTGTTCGGCGAAGATTCTACATATTTTTTTTCGTTTTCTTCTTTGTCTACTTGGTCTACTTTCCACCCGCTTTCTCCTTTTCCCTTCCCCACTGTTCGGCGAAGATAACACTTACTTTTTTTCGTTTTCTTCTTTGTCTACTTGGTCTACTTTCCACCCACTTTCTCCTTTCTCCTTCCCCACTGTTCGACGAAGATTACACTTATTTTTTTTCGTTTTTTTCTTTGTCCAGTTCCTCTTCTCCACTGTTCGGCGAAGATTACACATATTTTTTTTCGTTTTCTTCTTTGTCTACGTAATCTACTTTCCACCCGCTTTCTCCTTTCCCGTACCCTAATGTTCGGCGAAGATTACACTTATTATTTTCGTTTTGTTCTTTGTCTATTTTCCACCCGTTTTTTTTGTTCCCCTTCACCACTGTTCGATGAAGATTACACTTATTTTTTTTTCGTTTTCTTCTTCGTTTATTTTCCACATGTTTTCTTCTTTCCCCTCCCCAATGTTCGGCGAAGATCACACTTATTTTTTTTCGTTTTGTTCTTTGTTTACTTGGTCTACTTTTCTCCCTTTTTCTTATTTCCCCTTCCTCACTGTTTGGCGAAGATTACACTTTCTTTTTTTTCGTTTTCTTCTTTGTCTACTTGGTCTAATTTCCATCTGCGTTCTCCTTTCCCCTTCCCCACTGTTCCACGAAGATTAGTCTTTTTTTTTTTCCTACTTGGTGTACTTTCCGCCCGCTTTCTCCTTTCCCCTTCCTCACTTTTCGACGAAGATTACACCTATTTTTTTTCGTTTTCTTCTTTGTTTACTTGGTCTACTTTCCACCCGTTTTCTCATTTCCCCTTCCTCATTGTTCGGCAAAGATTACACTTATTTTTTTTTCATTTTCTTCTTTGTCTACTTGGTCTAATTTCCATCCGCGTTCTCCTTTCCCATTCCCCACTGTTCGACGAGGATTACACTTATTTTTTTTCGTTTTCTTCTTTGTCTACTTGGTCTAATTTCCATCTGCGTTCTCCTTTCGCCTTCGCCTCTGTTCGGCGAAGATTACACTTATTTTTTTTCGTTTTTTTCTTTGTCTAGTTGGTCTACTTTCCACACGCTTTCTCCTTTTTCTTTCCCCAGTCTTCGGCGAAGATTACACTTATTGTTTTCGTTTTCTTCTTTGTTTACTTGGTCTACTTTCCACCTGTTTTCTCCTTTCCCCTTCCTCACTGTTCGGCGAAGATTACACTCATTTTTCTTCGTTTTCTTCTTTGTATACTTTCCACCCGTTTTCTCCTTTCCCGTTCCCCACTGTTCGACGAAGATTACACTTATTTTTTTTCGTTTTCTTCTTTGTTTACTTGCTCTACTTTTCACCCGGTTTCTCCTTTCCCCTTCCCCACTGTTCGGCGAAGATTACAGTTTTTTTTTTTCGTTTTCTTCTTTGTCTATTTTCCACTCGTTTTGTCATTTCCCCTTCCCCACTGTTCGGCGTAGATTACACTTATTTTTTTCGTTTTCTTCTTTGTTTACTTGGTCTACTTTCCACTCCCCTTTCTTCTTTACCCTTCCCTGCTGTTCGGTGATTATTACACTTATTTCGGCCTGGCCGGGCAAGTGGACCTGGGCCACTCTGTTAGCCTAGTGTTTTTTTTTTTTTTCTTGGTTGTGTACTTGGTATATGTTTATTTTTTTTTCTATTTACCCCTTCCCTATACTTCGTCGAAGATTGCATGTATTTTTCTTCCACGCAACTCAGTTGAAGGATGAATTTTTGCCCAAACATAATAATAATTGGAAACAGGCTGGGGGGGGGGGACTGCCCACCGCACGGTGCGCCGCACAATTTGGACTCCCTCTATTTTCTTTTACTTTATTCTTTGGTTACTTGGTCTACTTTCTACCCGCTTTCTGCTTTCCTCTTCCATACTATTCCGTGAATATTACACTTATTTTTTTCATTTTCTTTTTTGTCTACTAAGCTAGGCAACCAGCCGGGCCGCCCGGGTCACCCTCTTTTCCCGGGCAGCCCGGCCTTGCAACGGCAAGGGAAGGTCCCAG